TTTGATATTTTTGGATATTTTGAAGAATAATGTCATTTTTCGATGTTTCTTTTTTTAAATGTCAATTTTGACAGGTTAAGGAAATCACGTGACCTATTTTGTAGATGCCATTTGACATCATTTCTTAAGCAAAATCTACTGCCAAAATCAAATTTCACATAAAACGATAAATAAAAAAGTTTCCCATTTGATGCGGACTTTATCGGTGACACTGTATGTATATATAAAATTACAGATAAATCTGAAAATTAAACAACTAACACGTCTCCATTTTGGTGTTGCTATGTGTGTGTATGTACATGTACATATATTACATTCTTTTTTCAAAGATAACTTTGTACATTATGCTTCATTTGGAGACATGAAGAAGACAGTCGAAAATTCAGAATAGTAAGAAGTTTTCCATTTTTCTGATTGAATACAATCTTTGAACCCCTTGGGGTGGAAATTCCTGATTCCCATTCTTGATGCTTATTTACGCTATACAAATAAACTACCTGCACATTTCAAGATTCTAGGTTCAGTAGCTTCGGCTGAGCGTTAATATAAGGGTGTCAGTCAATTAATAGGTATCCACTCATACAATATTAAATACTACCAGTAAAAAAAAACTGAAAAGATTAGAATGAAATATATTGGTAATCCTACTCTGACTGATATTATAAATGCGTAAAGTTTTCAGGATACTTTTTGACGCCTAAACAGCTCAACAGATCCAATTGTAAGTTGGTATATAGACAGATCTTGACCTGGAATAACACATAGGGTAGGTTCCCACGGTAACGCGGGCAAAACAGCGGGAAACAGCTAGTATTGTATGAATAGGTACCTATAGATTGGCTGACACTCTTATATTAACCTAGAATCTTGAAATATGCGGATAGGTCCCTTGTATAGCATAAATAAGCATTAATAAAGTGAATCAGGAATTTCCACCTTCAAGGGGGAAAATAGGGGTTCAAAGATTTACTGAATTTCGTCAGTTTTGAAGTTGAAAACCTGTAACTAACTTCAACTCCAAACTTATTAAACTCATTAAACTTAGTTTAATGTATGAGTTCGAAAATGTCCTTATAGGACGAAACTGCGGTAACGTTAGTTACAAATAAAAGCAGTAATAAACATAGAAAGTTTCAATTATCTTTTCTTCATTATGATTTCCTACCACGTAGTAACGGCTACATCAATCAATTTACAGAAGTTTTGGGTTGATGAAAAATATTGTGACTATTTGTTTGAAATGGTGTGTCACGAAACTTAATGTGATAAACCAAATTCAACGCGGACGACGCCGCGGGCAACTGCTAGTAATTTATACTTTTACTTGAAAAATACAGTAACTTATTCATTATTTAGTGCCAACTGAACTAAATAATGTATCAAAAATCGAATTACGTTACCTATAAAAAATTCGCAAATCTAACACAACCGTCAACAACGTCTGCCTTCACGCGTCTGCCCGCGTTCGGGTCGCATTCTCGGCGATGGCGCTTCATTGCTTAAACCGCCCTTTACCCCGCGAATCGGTCATCGAATCAAACGATTCGTCCAAAATACTCAGTGCAAATGACAGAGTTTATCTGTATTAAATACTTAAAATAACAATTATATGAATTTTCATCTGTGTTACTATCTTTATTCGGTTTTGAAGACCGTCGTAGTTTGGAAATGCAACGTTTCGCCCGCACGAGTCATCGGTGAATCATCGAGATGAATGAACTTCTGAAGAAGCCAGCCTCTCGTGCTATCGAAACTACGACGGCCTTCAAATCCGAATGAAAATATGAACACTGAAAATCTCGGCGGCGAAAACCTTAACCAATTAATTTTGACAGATATTCTGAAATGTGCATTGTAAAAAAGTATCCAGTTTAATTGTATTCATGGCTCAGTATTTTGTATATAGTGGCTACCACACAAGAAGTAGATATATGCCATCGCGGACTTTTATTTAGAACTATTTCAGATAAACATTCTCACGGCACATCATCTGCATGTAACTATAGGCAGCGCCAAGATAGCGTACGCCAAGATAGCTCTCAGCGAGCTATCTTGGCGTTCTTATATATCAGCGAGTTATACTGATGTATGAGCTGTATTCATGTAAAGTTTCTTCTAAATCCGTCCAGTCGTTTAGGCGCCAAAGAGCAACAAATATACATACATACATTCTCACAAACTTTCAGATTATAGATGGTTGAGGACTTCTAAATACTTACAAAGTGTGGTGATAAAAGCAATGTGCAGCAGTGAGTACGAAATTATCACTGATTATTGATCCTCCACAGTTCCACAATATAGGCTCCTCCGGCTCTGCTTGATATCCAATTAATGCCTTAAACAAAATAAATTCAGTAATTTTTTTTCAAATTAATTCTCAAATTGAAAGTAATCTGTTCAGAACCTAATCATATAAAAAAGGATGAGGTAATCTTTCAAAGAAAGGAAGGAAGTAATCAATTTGAAAATAAGTAACTCTTGACATGAATGTGTAGATCATGCAGAGAAGTAACTTTCAGACACAAACTGAAAGACAGTCCTCTTGAAACAGCTACTTTCATATAAACATTGAATTACACGAAAGAAAATATTCTTTCGAAACAAATACTTCTATATGAACACTGAATTATACAGAAGATACTTTTCTCTACTCAGTTTGTATATCAAACTGAGTAGAGAAAAGTATCTTCTGTTTGTATTTCGACTATATCAGTCCGTAGATCACGTAACTACGAATATTGGATTGTTTCAAAAGTTTTGTCGTTTCTATGAGTCTACTTCAGACTGTAATATTTCAGTAAATACTTATTCAATTCAATCGAAATGAACGCCATTTGAATCAGTGCACTTTTGCCAACGTATCACAAGTCGACTAATTCCGTCAGCATAAGAATTGTGTGTTCGGGATTCGATGAAGTAAACGAAGGCCGATTTTACCTGGTACTGATTGACGAAGGTTGTACTGATGAGAAAGTTATCGAAATGTTCGAAAAGATGGTAGTCAATTGGCTAGAGGTCCGGAGAGTATGATGGGTGAGGTATTTTCTGTTGACCAGTGCCGTTTGTTGCTGACTTAATTTTCGGTACATATCGTCGATTTCCTCACGATAGGGCTCTACTACTGTGATGGTTTGGCCCAGTTGCAGAAAGTTTTAGTGAATCACACCAGCCGCTTACCATCATAGTCGTACAGTAATCGAGGTTGTTTTTTGGTAGGTTTGCGTCTTTGGGAAGTGCCTGGGTGGCTCAAAGGTATCCAACCACTGTCCTGAACATATCCTATTGTCGTATTTTTTTGTCACACGTCTAATAAAAAAATCGTTTCGGTTCCACAAAAGAAAAGAGGAAGAGATCTCGAGACGTGACAGTTTCTGTCGATCGTTCAAGTCGTAGAACAACCACTTTATTTTGACCTTTCTGACTTTTGAACCATCAAAAACCGCATGGCAGCTGACTTCCAGTTCTTCCGCCATCCTACTCACTGTTTGTGACGGGTCAGTCTCCACCAGGGACCTCAAATCCTCGTCCTGGAATAATATATTCCAGGGGTACCATCCGTGGTACCCCTGAAATATTGACAGTATATTCACGCACGAGAAATACTGCATCCATACCTACAATCCGATGAACCCGATGTTTGTTTGTTTGCTTGTAATTCTCAAGTTCGGGATCTGTATTTGACAGAATTATCGACATTATTGCTTGATCTATTCGCTGGCAGATCGTGCTGTACGTAACATCCCCTTGATATAATTCGAACTCACTTTACATATATTTCAGATCAATAACCATTTCGTGGTGTATGCTGCTGTTCCATAATGTCACTATGTCCATTGAGTCTCTACGTTGATCAACGGAGCTCTGAGGCTGCTATAGGTATCCTCATAGATGTTATTTACCCATAGCGACAAAAAAGTTTTATGTTAAACTTAGATTAGATACATATATGGCATAAGAAAATATGATCATGTTCTCACAAACTGAATGAGTTGAAATGGCTTTCAGTGAGAGGTTCAAGTTCCATGCCTTGTGTCTGTTTCACAAAATTCTATTGTTGTAAAGTCCAACTTATCTTCACGAAAAAATAACGTTCAGAAATGATATCCACAATCTCAACATCAGGAATAATAATCTGCTAACATGTCCTGCACACAGAACCTCCGTCTTAGAGAGAGGTCACAGAAGTGAAAGGATACTTGAGAATGTGCCCGATGTGTGGCCCGATGGAGACTAAGTTAATAGGTTCATCCAGATATTTCTTTCTATTCGTAAACAACTAGCAGAATGTCGTTTGTCTAATTTTTGAAAAAAAAGGTGAAATTTTTACTTGCTTCAAGGAGTTTAAAAATATGGTTAAAAACAGACGATTTCCAGCATCAAGACTTTAAGGACCGATGATGGCACAGAATTTTGTTCTAATGAAATGAAGGATTTTTTGAAACAAAGTGGCATAATCCATCAGAAAACTAACCCTTATAGTCCGGAACAGAATGGGATGTGTGAACGATTTAATCGAACCATAGCTGATATGATGCTAAATTTGAGAAAAAGTTTTGGGCAGGAGCTGTTCACACAGAGCTGTTTACACAGCTATGTATTTGAAAAATAGATCCCTAGCATCAGGATTGAATCAGAAGACCCCCTATGAACTTTGGACTGGTCGAAAGCCGAATGTCAGTCATATACGAGTATTCGGTAGTATAGTATTGGCACATGTTTCTAAGGAAAAACGCCTGAAGTGGGACAAAAAGGCTGTGAGACATTATGTTGTTGGATATGCTGATAATGTGAAAGGCCATAGACTGTACAATCCTGTAACCAACAAAGTTATAACAAGTCGAGATGTTACCATCATGGAGTCAAACTCAGAAATGGTGCAAGCAGTGATTATAGACAACCCAAAAACACCAGCAAGTTCTGAACAGCATGGAGACCTAGATAGCTCTGACTCAGATCAATCTACTAGTACGGTGATATCAAAAAATGATAGCACCTATATAGAAGAGGAAGCAGATACCAGCAGTTCCTCAGATGAGTTTTCTGAAACTATACCATTGAAGGAGTTGAAGAATATTACTCAGACGATTGAACTACAGCCAGAAGTACGAAGAAGAAAGAAGCCAGACAGATTTGGTTATAGCAATATGTGAGTTAATGCAGATTTCAATTTGTATGGAGATCAGATAACTTACAAAGAGGCTGTAAGTGGTCCTGAATCGCAAGAGTGGAGTAAAGCAGAAATCGTTCGAAGAAAATGAAGCATGGGAAGTGGTAGATAAGCCAGATCAAGCTACTGTGGTTAAGTGCAAGTAGGTGTTTACAAAAATTAGACCAGTGCGAAAAAGTGAGATATCGGGCGGTTTTAGTAGCTAAAGGATATACCCAAAAAGCCGGAATATATTATAAAGAAACTTTTTCCCCGATACTTCGTTACTCAACACTAAGACTTTTGTTTGCTTCAAGTGTCAAATACACCCTAGATATAAATCATCTTGATGTTACCGCAGCGTTCATAAATGGTTATTTAGATGAAACTGTTTATGTGAACTTACCAGAAAATTTTGTGTGTAATGAAGGAGAAAATAAGGTTCTAAAGTTGAATAGGGCAATTTATGGGCTAAAACAATCAGCTCGGGCTTAGTATAAGCGAGTAGATGATTATTTACAAAGCTTAGGTTATGAAAAGTCTTTGTATGATCCTTGTTTGTTTATCAAACAGAATGAAAAAGTTGAAACATTTGTAGCTCTATTTGTCGATGATTTTTTTATTTTTTCTGACTGTAAAAATGAAACTGAATGTCTCAAGTCTGGGTTAGGTTCAAAATTTAGGTTAAAAGATTTAGAAGAAGTCAGACAATGTCAGAGATCCAGATCCCGAGGCATGCATCCCCGTCCGATTTATAAAAAGTTATCTGGTCCTGGTGACTTTTATGGATAGCTAGAAGGGAACCCATTATATCGATGATTCACAGAGAAGCTCAGAGTTATCAGAAGAAATGTAAGTGTGTACCAAATTGCGAATACCCCAAGAAGAATTGTATCTGATAAGTCGGTGAAGTGGTCTCTAAAATTTGAAGGTTCTGAAAAATAAGCTGCAGAATTCCAGCTGAGCTAAGGTTTTGTCCGATATTTTTGCGAGTACACAATTCTTATAATAAAAAAAATTATATAGTTTCAAGTGAGAGCGCTGCCTTTCAATCAGTTCGGCGAAAATAACGAAAACGATCCAGGATGTGCATTTAAACCACTATAGAGGTGACATACGACTAGAAAAAAACAAATGGAAGGAATATATTTACCATGTGAGGAAATTCCTTGATTACTATAACTTTGGTGCCTCCAATTATCAGCTTACCATCTTCCAACTCTTCATATGAGAAATTTGCATATTCTTGACACTCTGAAATGATAAAAATAGTGTTATATTCAACGCCACATTGAAATAACGTCAAGCACGACATCGAGCGCCAAATGACAAAACTCGCGTTTTTTCTCCTACAGTTTTAACTGCAAAGTAGGTAAGTATTTTTATCTGCCATAGATCTCATCAGTTATAGTGACCAAGTCATAGTTTGAATTATTTTGTCCACGCAATGACAATTTTTTTTGCAAAGACGTCATCTTTACTAATGACAACACTTCTTAAACATGAATGTCAGATATGAAACAGTGATATCAAATCTTGACATTACGATTATCCACCTTTGGGACTAAATTGTCTTGCTAATTCATGGTTGGAATTTTTTGCCGACCCTGCAGGTGGCGTCTTCAAAATTTGAGTTGTGATCGACATCAACGAATTGATACTTAGAATATGACTTACGTCTTCGCAGTCAACGCACATATCACTGATGATGTCTGCCTATGTTCTTATATAACTTTCTCCCATTCAATTTGTATTTCACACATTCGTAATGGAATTCAAACAGATATCATTTTTAGGAACGATACACAAAGTGATATATGAATGGTATTGATATTAAATTCAGTCATATAAAAAACTATCACACTTTTAGTGTACTTCGAAGTTTCAGGTGAGAACACTTTTCTTCAACTCCTCATCAGCATACTTTCGAATAACGAATAAGACGAAATACTCAATTCTTGTATTGAATTACGATTTTCTATTACCAAAAAAAAACAACTTTGCTATTGTCACGATAACAACTCTGATGAGAAGAAATGATAGCTCTGTATTAAAAAGTTCTGAAAAAAACTGAAGAGAATAGTTTTCTCCGAAACTTCGAAGTACACCAAGTATACTAAAGTTTTTCTATAGTCTTTCTTAAAAAACGTTGTGTAACATTTCTGTAAATAGTATGACAATTCATGAAAAATGAGAATTAAAACTTCCTATGTTTTTATACCCCTTGTATTTGTAACTAACGTTACTGTAGTTTCGTGCTACAAGGACATTCTCAAATGAATAAAAAAAATCAAATAATTAATGATCTGCATTTCAACGCAGACACAATCTAGAAGTTGGTCCGAAAACAAAGCCTCAAATTAACATACAGATTAATACACTCCCAGATCAAACAATCAGAAATCACGTTAACATATTTTGGAAAAATAACAGAGAAAATCACGGGATTTTTCAGAAACATTAATATGGAAGTGGCATTCAGGCCACAAAATACCAGGTTATCTAATTTCCTTTTAAATGATAAAGATAAAGTGGTTAAGATGGAGAAATCTGGAGTTTATGAGCTTAAGTGTCCGGAGTGTAATAGAGTTTATGTTGGACAATTTAGGCGAAATTTCTGAAAACGGTATGCTGAACATGAAAGGTTCTTCGGACTAGGTGAAAATGAATCAACGTTTTCAAACAATTTCTTGGAATGCAACCAGAAGTTCCCGAATCTAATCGATACGGAAATGACTAAATGACTTACTAGCCGTTTTTCAGATTAGCACCCACATTGTCGCAAGTGAACAAAATTCAAATAATGAAGTCTGTTATTACCGACAGTTTCACACTGAATCCGCTTACATCCGACTTTTCGAGTGCATTCAAATCTTAGTTCAACTATGAACTTCTGGAAGTTGCACCGCCATGAAAAATAATGAGCATATAGCTAAGAAGACACTTATTATATATGAAGGTTTTTTGCTGCATATTCATTTCTCACGTGAAGGGTTTTGATTTCATTTTTTTTTTCGATAACACAGGCCAACAAAAAATGTTTGTGAGAACTTTTTAAACAAATTCACCAAAATATCACAATTTTTCGGGTTCGAAGGCCGTAGATTTTTGGAATTTCTTCCTCATCTTTGAGTGACCTTGAGATCGAATGGATACAATATACCAAGATCAAAAAAGCCATGAAACTGAAGAGTCATACGGTTCAAAACGAAAAGAACGATTAGATGATTACACGCGCGTATCTACCATGTATCCCAAGGTCACAGACAGAATTGGAAAACTATGGAGGAAACATGACATTAAAACAGTTTTCAAACCCATCAGAAAGATAGAATGAAGCCTCAAGTCGGCTAAAGACAAAAGGGACCCACTATCAGCAGCAGGGGTTTATCGCATACCATGCACTTGTGGGAAGGTATTATAACGAATCTGGAGCCACCCCTGATCTATACGCCAGACTATTCATCGAATAAATACATGACTCACTCAAATATCGTTTGGGCATGGTCAGATTCTTCGACAAATATTGTTCAAGATCTCAAGAAGAAAATGTGTTCAAATCCNACTGAATCCACCAAAAGTTTTCGATATTGGCGACTTGGTCTTGACCAAAGTCATAACCAACCCTGCAACTGGTGAAAGTAAAAAGCTATTACCCAAATTTAAAGGTCCATTCAAAGTAATGGAAGTCCTTCCAAATGACTGTTATAAGGTGAAGGAGGATTTACACACCAGCAGAGCTAACCGCCCATACGAAGGTGTGGTGGCAGCAGAACACATGAAGCCGTTCAGATTCCAAAAAAACGTTAAGGTAAATGAACCAAAACGAGCCCTTGATGACAAATCGAGCCCTTGATGGCAAAACGAGCTCTTGATGGCAAAACGAGCCCTCGATGGCAAAACGAGCCCTTGATGGCAGCATGAGCCCTCGATGGCAAAACGAGCCCATGAAGACAAATTAAAAACTATGTCATACCATTTGCAAAAACTAAATTAACATCTTGTGCGCCAAGATGTTTAGGTTTGAGATTATTTAATGCTCGTCCAATACACGTTAGTGACTGTTATTACATAAATATTTTCAAAAAAAATTTGAAGGACTTCCTGTTAGATAAATGTCTGTATTCACTTAGTGAATACTTTCAGGTTTACATTTCTATTGTAATAAAAGACGACTCCTATACTGATTATTGTCAGTCTCTTGGGCAAATAAATGTATTTTATTTTATTTATGCGACTGACAAAGCAGTACAGTCAAAAATAAACAAATCCCACAACTTTGTGACGTAGAATAAAAACTCACCATCGTACAATTGTGCCAGTACTAAGTTAACAGTACAACAAACCACAATAACAACGTAATAATTCACGAGATCCAACATATTTCCCAACAGCAACTGATGCTGTTGATCACCATACAGCGACTAAGTTTGACCTCCCGGTTTTGGCAATTCTAATTAATTCCAAATACATTTTCGGAGCAGATTATCTGAAATAATTGTTTTGTGGGTATTTACGATCATAGGCAACTTTGTTTGCTTACGCTGATCGTTAATATAGCCCAGAGGTTCACAAACTTATTTTGTCTACCGCCCACTTCGAGAATTAATCATTTTAATTTATCATTAGCGCCCCCTCCCAATTTTTTTATTTCAATACATCTTAAGAATCACAATCGCAGTCATTATTTTGATAATTGAATTATGTGTCTCATGTGAATGTTAGACTTTCTGATGAGGGTAATATAAAACACCAATTTGTAATATTAGGACAACTTTTATTCATGTTATTGAAAGAAACATTTCAATTTGAATTTCAAAACTAATTCATCAAGTTTGTTAATATCAGGCTCGAATTTACTCAAAAAATAGCCGTAAGTCACCGCGTTCGGTAATCTGCAACCGATTTCTCTTTTTAGTTAGCAACGTTGCCACAGCACCAAATCCACGTTCACATATATACGATGATGGGAATCCTATCAGAAATCGTTGAACGATGGACCACAATCCAGGATGCAATTGCGAGATTGGCTTTTGCAGCCAACATTCTTGGTATCCATTTTTGAATTTTAATTTTTTTCCTCATTCGTTATGAGATCTATGAGTTCTTTTTCCAGCTGGGGTGATCCTGCTGTGTTGAAATTTGAAAAAGTATCCAACCTCCAGTCCGGTATTTCCAATTTTAAAATGCCCTGGAATCGTTCTGCGAAACCACTGTGGAGGTTCTCCAAATGTTGGCAGTGAACAAGCAAGTCGTCGTTGTTGAAGTATACTGCTGACAAATTAGGGAAATTGCGAAACTCACGTCTGCCGATATTATTCTTGTATAAGAGCAATTTGGCTACAAAAGCAGCAATGACGTTTTTTGTTTCAATCAACTTCAAGTCGTCACCTTGAAGTTGGAGATTGACATCAATAAATGATTTATACAGGTCTGTCAAGTACGCAATATCATTCTTTGAAGTGATGAGGTTGTCGTGCAATTATTTGTCTTTGTTTTCCAAGAACTCTATAACAGAGTCAAATAGATTGTAAAATCTAGTCAGACAGTTACCTCTTGATAACCAACGCACTTCTGTGTGAAATAGCAATCGATCGAAATTTTCATCATTGGCAACACAAAGATGATCAAATAATCTGTCATTTAAAGAGCTGTTTCGGATTTTATTGACTGATTGAGAGAGGCGCTCACTCAAATTTTTCGCAACCAAATGTTGCCTATAACTGACGCAATGTACAGCGAGCACATCTGGAATTGTATTTTTTAAGTATGCTATGAAGCCTTTGTGACGTCCTGTCATAGCCGGAGCGCCATCCGTAGCAACTGATATAATATTCTTCAGCGAAATAGCATTATTTATATATTCCGTGCTATACTGCCGTTTCTTCTTTTCTGCTTCCCACATAATTTTGTCTTCAAAAATGCCGCCGAAGTAAATAATCGAATATTAAAAACTTGCTAATGACACAACTCACAGTAATCACCACCGCACGTACAGCTCCAAACAGGTTGGAGCGTGGCTCCCTTACCCTTTGGACTGATGTTCGTCAGGAAGATAAACGGGTCAAGACTGATTTATGGGATGACGGCATGAATGTCCTCAGACATCAGTGCCGCCCTTCACATGGCTCCTACCTGGCTGGGGTGTTTGAATGAATATATTGTTCATCTTTTGACGGGGGACATGAGGGCCTCACTCGACAGAGTGTCTGAGCCTACTATATCGGGAGGGGTCGTCTACAGCATAATCCATAGCTTCCCTAACTAACATTATCGTGGTTTTCTGCGCAATCAAAGACTTGCCGATTCCTCGACTGAATGGACTGCTTAATGGAAGGTAGCTGCAAATGTCTGCGGATGGCTTCATTCCGCACGAACCAAGGAGCATTCACAATCGTCCTCATTAACTTATTTTGCAATACCTCCAGATGGAGATATTATACGTGGCCGCTTGTCCCCAGACGCCTGAAGCGTACATAATGACAGGCTTGAACATCGTTTTATAGATCGTAATCTTGTTCTTAAGAGGGTATATACTTTTGATCCGACCCACGATCTTTGCCTTCACGGTTGTAATGTGCGGGTTCCAGTTGAGCCTACGGTCTATTAGAAGGCCGAAGTACTTTACCCGCGCTTGCCAGTCGATCCCCCTTCCAGAGATCCTCACTTTTCTGGCCGGAGAAGATATCGTTCTTCCCATTGTTATCGCCTGGGACTTGTCCGAGTTCACTCGGATCTTCCATTCGAGGTACCAGCGCTCAAGGTCGTCCAATGCACGTTGCATATAGACGACATTGAGCTCCCGAGCCATGGAAGATGAGAGGAGAGCCGTGTCATCAGCGTACAGGGATATCTTCACACGCTTAGACTTCAGAGGGTCACTGGTGTAAAGTGAGTAAAGCGTATGGGAGAGCACGGCCCCCTGTGGCACTCCAGCGAAGATCTCTCTGTTGTCCGACAGGGAGCCCTCTACTCTAACCTGAAATGTTCTGTCTTTCAGGAAAGACCCAATCCACCGGATCAGGCCCCGAGATAGGTCGAACGCGATCAATTTGTGCAGAAGGCCTTCGTACCATACCATACCATACACGTCATGAACTTTTTTGTTTTGATTCAGTTCCGCGATGTTGTTTTCGACCAATCTCAGAGCCTACAACTCAGTGGAGTGTTCTCTCCTGAAGCCGAACTGTTTGTCAGGCAGAATATTTCGGCTCACGACTTCTTCGTTGAGTCTTTGTAGAACGACACTTTCAGCCAGCTTAGCCGCCGANTAGATAGTGGGGATCCCATCGCTAGTCCATCTGTTTGTTTATAAATTTTCCCTTCAGATTCGAAGACTAGTTGAGATGAGTACTGTACTCAATTATGAGAAACACAGAGTTTATTACCGATAAATTCAGCTTAGATCAATTAAACTGTCTTTCAATGATGAAAAGTTGAGGTTATCATCGTGAGTGTTCTAGTTCACTTGCATATAGTGTTTTCTGTATTTGGTAATTGTCCTATAGTGTTAAATGAACATTGTCAGGGTTCTTTCTTCATTTGTGGTGAGTCACGTATGTAGACACATTTTTTGATTGCAACCAATTAAACTTTAATAGTGGTTGCTAAAAATTTTTCTCACTGTATAGACTGGCAGTTCATGAAATGAAAAAAGAATGTATATAAATGAATGGATGGAATTTCCAAAATTATGACATGAAACCCGACATAACTTCTTGGATGATAATATCGGTTTTTTTTCATAGATGAAAATACGTGCATACATTAAATAACGATTCGTGATATTTATCATCTATGTTTTCAGCGAATCAGAATCTAAGCCTCATGATTATATTGTTTTTTTCTGTGTTCTTTTCTGCTTGAAGTAACTCTTATAAAAACAAATCAGGATGATGCAATGTCTCACCACAAGGTCACACAAAATTTTATTTTGTATCTGGTTTTACATTTACATGTTTGTGAAATATTTGTCACTAATTATCTCTATATAATCGCATCATACTTCACAGAAAGATTTCATTTGATTTTTTTTGCGATCAATGCAATGTGGTGATTGTCAAAAATATTACGAATTATTTTTGGTAACTTGAAAGCGGAGTTGTGTGAAGGTTCGACGACTGTCTCAGTTGAAGAATCAATGAATTGATTGATTTTAATATTTATTTAACAATAAATTGATGGATGTAGCCGTTACTACGTGGCAGGAGGTTACTGCAGTTTCGTCCTATATGGACATTCTCAAACTAATACAATATTATTATTCTAGTATTATATATTAGTATAAAGCCATGTGGTTGAAAAACAAAAAGAGTGACAACAAACAATTGACACTGACAGCTGTCATGTGATTCAGTGTGGAAAAAGTGTGTTTGTTTATTTATCTATGTTAAACATATTATAAATCAGAAGTGTTATGGTGCAATTGTGACATCTGCTGTTATATAAGCAAATCAATAAGAAAACCCAATATCAATTGCATCAAATTGAAATTAATTAATTGATAACATCCTTATTAGTTTTGAGTACAAAGTTGATGAAGAAGTGTCATTAATTCAAAGTATAACCTTGCCATAAGGAGGTTGGAACTTTGTTTCAAACTATTAAAAAAAAATTATGATTTATATTAGAGGTGATCAATGTCTGATCTTCTGATAAGGCAATCTAATAGATGTAGTTCTTCCAATTGATATGAATTTAGTTGAATTATAGTCCATATTGTGACCCTCTTGAAAACACGCTTACTGAGAGCACATCTCCCAGGATGTAATCTACTATCACTTTTATGTGATAAAGTTTGTTTATAAATTTTACCAATAAACTATTCTGACCAGTGTTTTTTTTGTGTGAGCATTTACAATTTCTCCAATTTTTATTCTTATTTGTGTTTTAACTGTTGAAGAGTTTGTTGTAAAGTGTTTCGTATTGTTAACACTATGCCTCGAGTGCGAAGGCTTCGTCGTATTGAGAGAGGATGCGTTGGCTTACGTGAGGCAGGTTTTTCAGTTAGATACATTTCAAGAAGAACCAGTCGATCTTTGCGTACTATTCTAAGATTTTATCAGGCATGGACCCAAGTAGGCCAAGAACACAGAGCTAGGGGCACCGGTCGTCGCAGGGAAACAACTGCGCGTGAGGATCGCCGATTAGGACTTTGGCTCTGAGGGATCGGTTCATTTCTAATAGGGCGATTGCGAATCAGTGGTTTGAAGAACACGGAAGGATTGTTGGAATGCGTACAGTATATCGGCAAATGAGAAGTTTCGGACTTTTTTCGTATCCTCCCCATTGGGTGTTACCACTGACGAGCATTGACGCAACCAATTGCACTGGTGCAGATACAGTGGGACCGCGTAATCTTCAGCGATAAATCTCGCTTTTGTTTAGGTATATACGCTGGACGAGCAAGACTGAGAAGAAGGCATCGTGGTGGAAGACGAGATCCCCAATTTGATGTGGGGAGGCATGTTCACCATACTGTTGGTTTGATGGTATGGGGTGCCAGTGCATATAGTAGCAGGACACCTTCAGTCTTTATTAGAAGCAACATGACGGCTCTTCCTCACATTTACGAGGTAGTCGAGCCTTCCATATCTTGAGACCATCGAGAACCCCTTATTTCAACAAGACAACGTAACTTTAGACTTCATGGATCAGCATAACATAAACTGCTTACCATGGCCACCCAGATCGCCCGATCTTTCGCCATTCGCAAATGTGTGGGATATTCTTGGTGGCAGACTGCTGAATTTACAGCCCCCAGAGATTTTGGCAGCACTTAGACATGAGTTACAAGTAGGGTGGAATGAGATACCGTAACAGGATATAGACCACTTTATCAGGACAATGCCCAGATGTATCCACGAGTGTATGAGATAAGACATCGAGGTTGTGCAATACACCACTGAACTTCACTGGTTTCACCATCATCCAATTTCTCTTAAAACTTACTCGTTTATTTACTATTATCTGTCAAGTATTCGAGAAAAAAATTATTGAAATATTTTCAATATAAATACTTATTTACCTTTCTTTGTCACTTAGTATAGTTTCGCACTTTTCAAATTTTTCATCTGGTTAAAACAAATTGAAAAAAAAGACGGTTATCTTTGATACCATTTACGAAGTGTCCGAAAAAAATACTGGAGTTGATGGAAAATGCATCATAGACAATGTTGAAATGTGATTATAATCTCATTTACCGAAATAAAAATTAACTATTCTCACTTTCAGAAGCTCTTGCTCCAACTTTCATATCCGCACTTGTGGATTTTCTCGTGGTTGTTGTAGTTCTAGTAGTGGTTGAACTAGTGGTGGTTTCAGTGATGGTTGAACTATTAGGGTCGGTGCAACAGACTATGGGTTTGGTGCCAACGAAACCGCAAATATCAGAGGGATATATTCCTTTCCTTATGTCGTTGAGAGCGGATTGGCATTTAGTGAGATATTTACAAGTGGCACGGGTTCCGTCATTTGTTGTACAAGAATCTCCTGAAAAAAAAATCAACGTAGTGAATGAAAAAACAAAATTAAAATTGGATTCAAACGAGGATATTTTTAGGAGAGATTAATTTTTTGGAAAGAAAGTGTTTGGCTTTCTACTCCTCTATAATTAACAAATGTGGAAAACTTCCGAAGAATGGAATGGTACAGATACGTAGATGATACCCTTACCAGCATAAAGTTGCTGCATTCAATAGTATGCTTCAAAGGCCATTGAATATTCCATTGTCTTGAAGGTAATTTCCAGAGAGAGCTGAGGTTGATTGAAGAAATCGCGGTCAACAACGGTTATAAGGTAGATATTAGAGACTCCATCCTTTCCAAAAAACTACAAAATCAAGCCATGGATCAGGTCCACCCATATTCAAGATGCGATAACGTCAGTTATAGGACATTGTCAAATTTGGGTGAAACAACCAATAATATTGCCCGTTTTTTGAAGAAAGAATGCGTAAACTTTGTTTGAAGAACGAATAAAGACAAAACTATAAGTTAAAAGTATTACAGTTGGAGTATGACAAGACGTCACTATGTCAAAACCATTGTTCTATCTTCAGAATATACATTTGAAAATCGGCTATCAAAAATAAAAATCGATCATTTCAGGATTTATGTTGGAAGTACATTGCTTGTAAAATAAGAAATTTGTTCCATAATTCAGTCGCTCACTGTATTAACGATTTGTTCCATATCTATTACGCAAATACTATTTCTGTATCTCTGTATCTGTAGAGTAGGAAGGGTGAGGGTAAGCCCATAGCACTTAGGCCACATGTGACCCATTGTACATCCTCCCGAGTAGGTCCTCCTAGGTCATCGTCCATCCTGTCCTTTTCAGGAAGGTGGACAGGTCACTGGGAGACATCTCTTTCATATAAGCAAGTGTTGGTCAAGACTCGCCAAACACACACTCTTTTATTGACGATAACTCCGGGCACTCGCATAGGACATGCTTGACAGTCTCATCTTACTGTTCACACATCCTGCATAGAGATGTGTCGCAAATACTACTTAAAAATATGCTGAATTAATTTATTCATCAATTCCTATTTTGTCCCCTTCAAAGTAGCCCTCCCAGATATAACACACTTGTGCCAGCGTTTTTTCCTCGAAGTAGTTCTGATTAACACTTTTTGACATGTCCTTGAGGTCTCTCAGCGATTCGTTTTTCATCCCCTCAATTGTCGCAATACGCCGTCCTTTCATGGGTCTCTTCAATCTTGTGAACATGAAAAAGTTGCAGGGGTCCAAATCTGGTGAATACAGTGGCTGAGGCATGATGACGAGTGAGAAGGTGCATTATCGTGAATTGTTTTTCGATAATACCGGATGTTTTCTTCGTATTGATTCTCGCAAGAGGCGAAATAATATTCCCTGTTCTCCGTACAACCATGTGACGAAAACGTCCGATGCAAGACGCCATGGTAATTGAAGAAAACAGTGATCGAACTTGACTCAGAGTACAATCACCGTATGACACTGTAAACATTTCAAGAGTCTTTGAGCACTCAATTCCAGTTTTTACACAAAATTTTATGCAAAATTTTCGAATCATTTTTTTCGATAGCAGAAAATCACCGAATATTCAAAACACTTGTAACTTTTATGCCTCTCACCAGCAAATTAAACATGCCAAACAGCTGAAACTGTAACTGTTCGAGACGAGTGTACCAACTTGAAAAAAAATCGCAAATCGAATTTACGTAGGTCACGAAATTTGAACATTCACCTTATTTTTCGTGTCTAGTGAACCGTTTTATTTCAAAGAAAGTCACGCGACAACGAATTTTCTGTATGAAAAAATATATTGTTTTTACAATATTAATAATCCAGTCCACGCTTCAGAAGTTTTCTAATTTCATATAGTATGAAAAAATAAAAAAAACAAATCAGAACTTTACAGAAAAAAGTCCAAATTCGATTTGGAACGTGATCGTACAAATAATTTGAAAATTAGGATAAACCTTCATTGTGGTTATGGTGGAGAAATTATAGTAAAAAATATATTATAATTTTGATAAATGCGATAAATATTGTTTTCTCAGTACCATTATTTACGAGTATTGTTATTAGTCTGCTTTGCTTGATTTATTGAAAAAATATTCAGATCTTCTGTAGTATTTGTATGCAATGTTTGTTTCACAGATCACTCAGGTCAGGGTTTGATAGAGTCATCCAGCTTTTGATTATTATGCGATTGACGAAGCAGTATATTCAAAAATAAACGAATAAAGCAACTCAGTGACGTTGAATAAAAACTCAACCATCGAACAATTGTGCCAGTACTCCGTTAACAGTACAACAAACCACAACAACAACGAGATCCAACATATTTCCAAACCGACATTAGTTTCTCAACTGTACGTAAAATAATCAAAAACAATTTTTTTGAACGCAAGTCGCGATGTGATACGGGAATACCAAAACCTTTAGATGTTCATCTAATAAAATCATTGAAAAAAACAATATACGACTGATACAAAAGCAATGAGATTTCTACAACTGAAATCATGAGGAAGAAATTGAATACTTCCGGCCATAACGTGAAGCTGCTGTGACAAAACTCTTCAGAATTGGATAAAGAAACTAGGATTTAGATTTAAAATCATAAACAAATGGAAAGCAGAAGAATACTTGAATTACATAACAAATAACTACTTAATTATAAACTAGAACAATGGCAAATTTTCTGCTTGGACGAAACTTGGTGTGACATTCACGATATAGTTATGAAAGGGCGGACTGATGATTCGAGAATGTGTACGCCTAACATGCATGCCAACTAAGGATTGCGAATAATCATTGTGCATTGCGGAGGAAGTAAAGGATAGGTTCCGAATTCTTTTAAATTATGTGGAAAAAACTTAAGGGCTGCAATGTTGACTATCATAAGAACATGGAAGCTAATATTTTCGAGGATGGTTTGAAAACACATTAATCCCAAATTTGGATGCGAATAGTGTAATAGTTCTTGACAATGCTTCCTATCATTCGCGAGACAGCTCATCGAAGTAATGGATAACAATTTGCATTTTGAAGATTACTATACCAAAAACCAACTACTTGAAGTTTTACAGACAAAAACATTCGAAAAAGTGTATGCCCTTGAGAGTATTGCTGAAAGTATGGACACACCATACTGAGACTTCCCCCCTATTTTTATATTTTCAATCCTATCGAGTTGATTTGGGGAAAATTTTAAACGAAGCATCAGGTGTAAAAATAATTTTTCAAAATTTGATGAGAAGGTAATAGAGCTGACTAAAGAAGAAGTATCTAATATTACCGAAGAAGACTGGCAGAAAAGGATTGAAAAAGTAATTTTAGTTGAAAAAGACTATATGGAGATTGGACACTTTCCTAATAATGGTGGGAATAAATTCATTATTGATAAACATTTTGATAAATTATGAATGAGATAAATATTGTTTCCTTAATACCAGTATTTATTGTTATTCGTCTGCTGTGCTTGATTTGTTGGAGAAATATAAGATTTTCTGTAGTATTTGTATATAATGTTTGTTTCACAGTTCAGTCAGGTCAGGGCATTATAGACTTATGCGATTGACGAAGCAGTATACTTAAAAATAAACGAATAAAGCAACTCAGTGACGTAGAATAGGAACTCACCATCGTACAATTGTGCCAGTACTCCATTAACAGTACAACAAACCACAACAATAACGAAATAATTCACGAGATCCAACATATTTCCAAACAGCAACTGATGCAGTTGATCACCATACAGCGACTAAGTTTGACCTCCCGGTGTTGGGAATTCTTATTTTTGAATCGTTCGGTTTTGCCAAGTCAATTAATTCCGAATAAATTTTCGAAGCAGATTATCTGCAATAATTGTTTTGTGGGTATTTACGATCATAGGCAACTTTGTTTGCTTACGCTGATCGTTAATATGCACGGTGCCACTAAACGAGAAATATGTATTGTTAAAAAGGAAAGTTATATGTTCAAGGAATTCGTCTATCAATAGATCTGAGATAATATACAATGCTGAAAAGAGGTACCACATCTAAGCTAGCAATTACATAAATATTTGGTAATTTTGTTTTATCGAATGTAGAGAAAACATCGAAAAAATCTTTAATAAAATATTGGTTGTCAAATTCATAAGCTTTCGTTGAAATGTCTCTTAGAAATGATGCAAGTTTTTCAGTAGGATAACCAATTGAAGCAATGATAGGTCTAACAGACAGGATTGGTTTATCTATCTTAGACAAAGCATTAAATTTGGGTAAAGTACCAGTATAATTAGTAACACGTTTACTTAGATTTGTGTAGAATATTGTGTCATAAATATCACCATACTTTCCGAACCATCCGGTATAATCTCAAACAACCTATTATTAATGGGAATAACCCGTTTGAAAAGAATCAATTCGGTGAAAATATTTAGAATGTTCAACTAAAAAAAATTCGATGAATTACACATTCATTGAACACCCTGTATACTGATGGTTTCTTTTCAAACATAGCTTCCAACACTCTCAACTATCATTAGGGGAATGGAAGTTCAATTTATTGAAACATCTCACCACGAAAATCAATTTTAGTTAAGAGCTATACATTTTTACAGAGCTCAGTTTAACACCTGGTAAAACATTATCTTTAAAAAAAAACTTCGTATTCAACTTACGTAATGAACATAAAACATTACAAAAAATCGTTCATCCCGATTCGAATGAACATCTTTATCCTTTTTGAAAATAGTACATACTTCATCCACCGTGCATATTAACGATCAGCGTAAGCAAACAAAGTTGCCTATGATCGTAAATACCCACAAAACAATTATTGCAGATAATCTGCTTCGAAAATTTATTTGGAATTAATTAGCTTGGCGAAACCGAACGATTCAGAAATAAGAATTCCCAACACCCGGAGGTCAAACTTAGTCGCTGTATGGTGATCAACTGCATCAGTTGCTGTTTGGAAATATGTTGGATCTCGTGAATTATTTCGTTATTGTTGTGGTTTGTTGTACTGTTAACGGAGTACTGGCACAATTGTACGATGGTGAGTTTTTATTCTACGTCACAGAGTTGCTTTATTCGTTTATTTTTAAGTATACTGCTTCGCCAATCGCTTTAGTGTATAAAACCCTGACCTGAGTGAACTGTGAAACAAACATTGCATACAAATACAACAGATATTCTAAATATTCACAGCAGGCGAATAACAATGAATACTGGTATTAAGGAAACAATATTTATCTCATTCATAATTTATCAAAATGATAATCAAAAATTAATTTATTTCCACCATTGATAGGGAAGTGTCCAATCTCCATATAGTCTTTTTCAACTAAAATTACTTTTTTTATCCTTTTCTGCCAGTCTTCTTCGGTAATATTAGATACTTTTTCTTTAGTCAGCTCTATTACCTTCTCATCAAATTTTGAAAAATTATTTTTACACCTGATGTTTTCTTTCAATTTTCCCCAAATCAACTCAATGGAATTGAAAATACAAAAATAGGGGGGAAGTCTCAGTATAGTGTGTCCATACTTTCAGCAATACTCTCAAGGGCATACACTTTTTCAAATGTTTTTGTCTGTAAAACTTCAAGTAGTTGGTTTTTGGTATAGTAATCTTCAAAATGCAAATTGTTATCCATTACGTCGATGAGCTGTCGCGAATGATAGGAAGCATTGTCCAGAACTATCACACTATTCGCATCCAAATTTGGGATCAATGTGTTTTCAAACCATCCTCGAAAATATTAGCTTTCATGTTCTTATGATAGTCAACATTGCAGTCCTTAATTTTTTTTCCACATAATTTAAAAGAATTTGGAACCCATCCTTTACTTCCTCCGCAATGCACCATGATTATGCGCAATCCTTAGTTGGCATGCATGTTAGGCGTACACATTGTCGAATCATCAGTCCACCCTTCATAACTGTGTCGTGAGTGTCACACCAAGTTTCGTCCAAACAGAAAATTTGCCATTGTTCTAGTCTATAATTAAGTAGTTATTTGTTATGTAATTCAACTATTCTTCTGCTTTCCATTTGTTTATGATTTTAAATCTGAATCCTAGTTTCTTTATCCAATTTTGAAGAGTTTTGTCACAGCAGCTTCACGTTATGGCCGGAAGTATTCAATTTCTTCCTCATGATTTCCGTTGTAGAAATCTCATTGCTTTTGTAACAGTCGTATATTGTTTTTTTCAATATCTTCATCTAAAGGTTTTGGTAATCCCGTATCACATCGCGTCTTGCATTCATAAGGTTTGTTTTTGATTATTTTATGTACAGTTGAGAAAGTAATGTCGGTTTGGAAATATGTTGGAGACATTGCATATAAATACTACAGAAAATCTGAATATTTTTTCAACAAATCAAGCAAAGCAGACGAATAACAATATTCGTAAATACTGGTATTAAGAAAACAATATTTATCGCATTCATCAAAAACATAATATATTTTCTATTATAATTTCTCCACCAATAACCACAATGAAGGTTCATCCCAATTTTAAAATTATTTGTACGATCACGTTCCAAGTCGAATTTGCATTTTTTCCTGGAAAGTTCCGATTTGATTTTTTTTTTATTTTTTCATACTATCTGAAATTAGAAAACTTCTGAAGCGTGGACTGAATAATTAATATTGCAAAAACAATATATTTTTACACAGAAAATTTGTTTTCGCGTGACTTTCTTTGAACACGAAAAATAAGGTGAATGTTCAAATGTCGTGAGCTACGTAAATTCGATTTGAGATTTTTTTTTTCAAGTTGGTACACTCGTCTCGAACAGTTACAGTTTCAGCTGTTTAGCATGTTTAATTTGTTGGTGAGAGGCATAAAAGTTACAAGTGTTTTGCATATTTGGTGATTTTCTGCTATCGAAAAAAATTATTTGAAAATTTTGCATCAAATTTTGTGTAAAGACTGGAATTGAGTGCTTAAAAACTCTTGAAATGTTTACAGTGTCATACGGTGACTGTACTCTGAGTCAAGTTCGATCACTGTTTTCTTTAATTATCATGGCGTCGTGCATCGGAAGTTTTTGTCACATGGTTGTACGGTCAACAGGGAGTATTATTCCGCCTCTTGCGAGAATCAATACGAAAAAAACGTCCGGTATTATGGAAAAACAATTCACGATAATGCACCTTCTCACTCGTCATCATGCCTCAGCCACTGTATTCACCAGATTTGGACCCCTGCAACTTTTTCATGTTCACAAGATTGAAGAGATCCATGAAAAGACGGCGTATTGCGACAATTGAGCGGATGAAAAACGAATCGCTAAGAGACCTCAAGGACATGTCAATAAGTGTAAATCAGAACTGCTTCGAGGAAAAAACGCTGACACAAGTGTGTTATATCTGGGAGGGCTACTTTGAAGGGTCCAGAATAGGAATTGATGAATGAATAAATTCAGCATATTTTTAAGTAGTATTTGCGACACATCTCTGTGCAGGATGTGCGAACAGTAAGATGAGACTATCAGGCATGTCTTATGCGAGTGCCCGGAGTTATCGTCAATAAAAGAGTGTGTTCGGCGAGTCTTGGCCTACACCTGCCGATATAGAAGAGATGTCTCCCAGTGACCTGTCCACCTTCCTGAAAAGGACAGGATGAACGATGACCTAGGAGGACCTACTCGGGAGGAAGTACAATGGGTCACATGTGGCCTAAGTGCTATGGGCTTACACTCTACAGATACAGAGATAAAGAAGTAGTATTTGCGTAATAGATATGGAACAAATCGTATATACAGTGAGCGACTGAATTATGGAACAAATTTCTCATTTCACAAGCGATGTACTTTCAACAAAAATCCTGAAATGATCGATTTTTATTTTTGATAGCCGATTTTCAAATGTATATTCTGAAGATAGAACAATGGTTTTGACGTAGTGACGTCTTGTCATACTTCAACTGTAATACTTTCAACTTATAGTTTTGTCTTTATTCGTTCTGTAAACAAAGTTTACGTATTCTTTCTTCAAAAAACGGGCAATATTATTGGTTGGTTCACCCAAATTTGACAATGTCCTATAACTGACGTTATCGCATTTTGAATTTGGGTGGACCTGATCCATGGCTTGATTTTGTAGTTTTTTTTGGAAAGGGTGGAGTCTATAATATCTACCTTATAACCGTTGTTGACCGCGATTTCTTCAATCAACCTCAGCTCTCTCTGGAAATTACCTTCAAGACAATGGAATATTCAATGGCCTTTGAAGCATACTATTGAATGCAGCAACTTTATGCTGGTAAGGGTATCATCTACGTATCTGTACCATTCCAATCTTCGGCATATTTGTTATTTATAGAGAAGTAGAAAGCCAAAAACTTTCTTTCCAAAAAATAAATCTCTCCTAAAAATATCCCCGTTTAAATCCAATTTTAATTTTATTCTTTTATTCACTACGTTGATTTTTTTTCAGGAGATTATTGTACAACAAATGACGGAACACGTGGCACTTGTAAATATATCACTAAATGCCAATCCGCTCTCAACGACATAAGGAAAGGAATATATCCCTCAGATATTTGCGGTTTCGTTGGCACCCAATCCATAGTCTGTTGCACCGACCCTAATAGTTCAACCATCACTAAAACCACTACTAGTTCAACCACTCCTAGAACTACAACAACCCGTATGACTATCACCACTCGTAGATCTACTACAGCAACAACGAGAAAATCCACAAGTGCGGATATGAAAGTTGGAGCAAGAGCTGCTGAAAGTGAGAATAGTTAATTTTTATTTCGATAAATGAGATTATAATCTCATTTCAACATTGTCTATGATGCATTTTCCATCAACTCCAGTATATTTTTTGGACACTCCGTAAATAGTATCAAAGATAACCCTCCTTTTTTTCAATTTGTTTTAACCAGATGAAAAATTTGAAAAGTACGAAACTATACTGAGTGACAAAGAAAGGTAAACACCCATTTATATTGAAAATATTTCAATAATTTTTCACTTACATACTTGACAGATAATAGTAAACAAACGAGTGAGTTTTAAGAGAAATTGGATGATCGTGATACCAGTAAAGTTCAGTGATGTATTGCAGATCCTCGATGTCTTATCTCATACACTCGTGGATACATCTAGGCATTGTCCTGATAAAGTGATATATATCCTGTTGGGGTAACTCATTCCACCCTACTTCTAACTCATGTCTTAGTGCTGTCAAAGTTTCTGGGGGCTGTAAATTCAGCAGTCTGCGACCAAGAATATCCCACACATTTCCAAATGGCGAAAGACCGGGCCATCTGGGTGGCCATGGTGAGCAGTTCATGTTATGCTGATCCATGAAGTCTAAAGTTACTCTAGCCACATGCGGTTTAGCGTTGTCTTGTTGAAATATGGGGTTCTCGATGGTCTCAAGATATGGAAGGCTCCACAACTTCGTGAATGTAATGAAGAGCTGTCATGTTGCTTTTAATAAAGACTGAAGGTGTCCTGCTATCATATGCAATGGCACCTCATACCATCAAACCAACAGTATGGTGAACATGCCTCCCCACATCAAACTGGGGATCTCGTCTTTCACCACGATACCTTCTTCTCACTCTTGCTCGTCCATCGTATATACCTAAACAAAAGCGAGATTTATCGCTGAAGATAACGCGGTCCCACTGTATCTGCACCAGTGCAATAGATTGGTCAATGCTCGAGAGTCAGTGGTAACACCCAACGGGGATGATACGAAAAAAGTTCGAAACTTCTCATTCGCCGATATACTGTACGCATTCCAACAACCCTTCCGTGTTCTTCAAACCACTGATTCGCAATAGCCCTATTAGAAATGAACCGATCCCTCAGAACCAAAAGTCTTAATCGGCGATCCTCACGCGCAGGGTAGCTTGTAATATCATCCAAAGCACGTTAGACATTGTTCACAGTTGGTGCCTAAGGGAGCAGATGTCTGTCAACACCAGCAAAACTGTGATAATCCCCTTCACTAGGAGGAGAAAATTGAACGATCTAACGTCCTTGATAAAAGACTCACCTGAAACGCTCACTTGGAAAAAGTTTCACACAAAGCCAGACTGTCTCTGTAGACATGTCGAAGGATTTGTGTTAAAACTTGGGGTTAAGGTCAAAAACAAATCCATTGGGTTCATTTGATGATTGTCAGACCAATGATCACTGATGGTGCAATTGCCTGGTGGCCGAAGGCTTTACAGAAAACGGCCAGGCTCACAGAGACAGGCTTGTCTGGCTATCAGTGATGCTATCAGTACCACATCGTCAGCGGCCATGGAGATCCTTCTAGATCTACCTCCTCTCCACATTTTTCTGGAGAGAGAGGCTAGATGGACTGCATACAGACTTGTGCACATTGCCAATTGCACAAATCAATTCAATGCAGAGTGCAACAGACTGTTGGCTGACACTGGAAGTCACAGCATTCTGGAAGTGACCTCTGACTATATGCTTCCAACTGTCAACTACGAACTCTCTTATAAAGTACTGTTCCCGAGTAGAGAGGACTGGATCCTCCGGGAGAAGGAAATATTAAGAGCAGATAGTTGTTGGTTCACAGATAGATCAAAAACACTTTCCGGTTCTGATGCAGGTGTTTTTAGTCCAGACACAGGACAGAGATATCTACCTGCCTAGGAACCTATGCGACGTATTTCAAGCGGAAATTTACGCTGTTGAATTGTGTGCAGAGAGATTGGAAGAATCCAACCTCATACACAAGTCAATAAAAATATTCTTGGACAGCCATGCGGCGTTGGAAGCTCTTGGTTCCTACCGAGCAACGTCTAAATTGGTAGCAAATTGGCAAAAACGACTCTCTCCGATATAGGAAGACTTAAAAGATTGTCTCTGGTCTGGATTCCTGGCTATACTAGCCTGGAAGGCTATGAGGCTGCTGACTCCCTTGCAAAGGAGGATGCTGCAAGCAGCTTCATCGGACCAGAACCTGTCACTGGCATCGCTTTAGGCTTTGCCAAACAAACATCGAACACCTGGATGACAAAAAGATTGATAGACCTCTGGCAGAATCTGCCAGGATTGGCTAACTTCAATGCTTTTATTCACCCTTTGGAGCTTGATACCACACAGTGATTGGACTACAGTAGAGATGAACTTCGATGTCTAACAGGCCTTCTCACAGGTCACTGTCAATTAAATCATCATATGCAGAGACTCGGACTGTCGGAAGACAATGTGTGTAGCCTCTGTTAGGAAAATGATGAAACAGCAGAGCATATACTTTGTGCCTGCCCCGCTGGGAACCAAAACAGGTTTTTCGAGTTCGACAGAGCCGTAGTCTTACCATCTAACCTGAAAGACCACTCACCATACAAACGAATCGGCTTCGTTAAGAAGGTGGGTTCATTTGGTCGAGTGTGAATAGGTGTGAGCCACAATAAACCCTTGCGGATGGCGGTGGAGGGTCGAATAGACCCACTCACTTTAGACCTAACCTAACCTAACATACACGGATGTACTCAACATGCTTTTCTGGCATCGAATGCTATGGAATGAAGAGTTCAATATACGTGCAGAAATGATAACGATCCATCACCTCCACACAAATAGCACCTCAAGCTAGATTTCAACTTAAATTTAATAGATATATTCTGGATATGTATTACCTGTAGACTATCATTATTTTTCAGTGTGCAAACAATATGCCAAGTTCGCTTACGAAAAATCTGAAGATTCGTCATTGTCCCTCATTCCCACGTTTTCCGAAAACCTAGAATGTGCTTTCGAAAAAATACCTCTCATCGTAGGGGGTACAAAAGCATCGAGACAAGAATTTCCTCATATGGTAAGTTATTATAGTAAGTCTGTGCGTCTGAACATTTTCAATATTTACGAAATATTGAAAGCTAACCTGGAATGTCATCGAAAAACGGATCCACATGTTTCTAGAAATGATAGTTTCAATTCGTGAGGTTGCAGTCAATAGCTGGGCTGTTACAAAGAAAACTCTGCCAAGCTTTCGGTATATTTCACACCTTCGTCAGGACAACTACAATAATAAGATTATCTATCTTGTAAAAAATATATAAATATGGAGAACTTACTTACGTGAGAATAAAATATAAAGAGGTTCAAAAACGTTAGTAAGTTCTCCATATTTATATATTTTTTACATTATATATAATCTTATTATTGTAGTTGTCCTGACGAAGGTGAGAAATATACCGAAAGCTTGACAGATAACAAAGAGTTTTCTTTGTAACAGCCCAGCTATTGACTGCAACCTCACGAATTGAAACGATTTATAGTCATTAAGTGTTCCGGCGATGTCTTGAATTCATTGGAGCCTCTGGAGACACCATACATTTTTTTCTATGAAAGAGAGGACATTGGCAGATCAAGATCTTCAGATGATGTTGTGCTGCAAATTTTTTCGAGTTTTCCTGCAGGTTAAAAGGCAAATGCGCCACTGGAGTAAATCAAGTCGCCCCGGAGCGCCAATTCATTTTTTTGTTGTCGTTTCACAATTACATAATTTGTATTACTTTCAATAAAATATTATATTTTGAATGAAAATATAGGGTAACATGACGTATTTATACCCTTCAGCCTTATTTTTTGAACTTCGTCTCTTAGGGTGGAAAATTTCACCAACTCCTTAAATAACGCAGATGCTAAAAACCATCAAAAAATGGGATGATAAACAATAAAAAATAATTGCATTTCAATAAGTTTTCTACGGGATGAAAATATACATTCTTCAATTTTCAACAGGCACAGCTTGGGTATATTAGTGGTTCTGATACGGAATGGGCTTGTGGTGGTAGCCTCATTAGCAGAAACTTCGTTCTTACTGCTGGACATTGCCTATGGAGTCAAGACTTGTAAGTAGCAAATACTCTCATTTCACATTCCCCTTCGACTCCTAGAAAATATATTTGATGACTTTCATTCTAACCACCGGTTGTAAGAGGATCGTCAAGTTCAGGTCAGAATTTCTCCTGAACGAATTTTCGTGAGGGTTCAGTATCTCCTGTGAAACTACAATATTAGGTTGTACGTTTTTATGAGTCTCTTTCAAGCTGTGAGGTGAAACGGCGATTCGACCACAAAGCCCGGACGGTCGATTTTTCACCGCTTATTATCCAACCTGTTCTAAGAATCGCACGTTAAAAGAAGATACCTCGTTAATCCTCAGCTCTCACAAGGTTCGGCAGTCTGATTCAGAAATTACTCTATGTGAAAAAGTTTTCTCCGTCGTTAATTGTAATGTTATTAATCTTTCTACTATCATTTTTCAATGTTTCAAATGAAAACCAATTTACTTCAGTTCTAAGAATCGCACGTTAAAAGGAGAGACCTCGTTAATCCTCAGCTCTCACAAGGTTCAGCAGTCTGATTCAGAAATTACTCTATGTGAAAAAGTTTTCTCCATCGTTAATTGTAATGTTATTACAATTAACGACGGAGACAATTTACTTCAGTTCCGTCTATCGAACGACTCTCCAGAATCGACAAAACCCAAAAAGCATGAGCAAAACATGAAAAATAATAAAAAAAAACAATATTCTCATGGATAGCTGGCCAGATGACTAGAAATTTTCGAACAGATAACAAAACTGGTAATCGAATTTACAACGGTCTATGCCAGTATTTCTCAAACTTTTCGAATTCACGGCTCCCCGAACGTGAAGACTACACTAGATATTTAATTAATAAAAGTAGGTAGGTGACTGTCTGAACGGATTGCATTTTGCATTTACCGATATCATATTATCAGAGTATTTTTATTAATAGGTACCGACGTATTACCTTTACTCTTCGTTATCTGTGTTGTAAAACGTTGTATCTTGAGACTTTGAGACTTTGAGAAACACTGGTCTATGCGAACGACTGATTGCTCCCAGGACGCTAAGTAACTTAATGCTCAAGCAAGGAAAAATACTCGTGGCGTCAAACACGGTTATGTTCTGGGTGCACTGTTTTGTATCTATAGAGTAGAGAGGGCGAATGTAGGCCAAGACTCGCCGAACACAAAATCTCTTATTGGCAATGATTACTCCGTACACTTGCATAGAACATGCCTGACAGTTTCATCTTCCTTTTCACACATCCTGCATAGAGGTGTGTCCACTAGCCCCATATTATGTAGGCTTTCCTTAGTTGACAGTGGCTAGTCAGAAATTCTACTGTTAGGCGTTGATTTTTCCTGGTCGTCACCAGATATTTCTTCGGCGCCAGCTTCCCTGTGTTGTCCAGGGTGATTCTGGCAAGATTGCATTCTTTGATTCCATTCCATCGGCAATGTGATTACCTTTACTTCTGTCGTACCCTTCAACCCACATCAGGATAATGTTATTATTTACTGAGGCTTTGGCTGAATCTTGGTGGCACTCTAGTACTAGCTCTGCGGTTATACGTTGTCTCTTCAAGGCTAATAGGGCTTGTCTACTATCAGTGCAGATTGTTATGTTTTTGTCAGAAATTCTTTTCCTGGTTATTTCTTTTGTGGCAATTGAGATACCAGCCAGTTCTGTTTGGACCACGCTGGTATTTCTTCCCATTCTCCACTCAATCCTTAGGCTTAATGATCTGGAGTACACTCCACATCCAGAGCCTTCTTTGGATTTTGAGCCGTCTGTATAAATGCGTAATGCATTTGTAGCATCTGACTCTCTGTTCTGTTTCATTTGTATTTTGTAGGGTTTAATAAACACAAACCTGGGTTCAATTGCATCACTGGTTGCCTGCAGCAGAGGTTGCGCAGTAAGCGCTTCTCGCCATAGGTTCAGCCTCAATTGACCCATTCCTACTTCGAGGTTTACACCAGTCGTGCGCAATCGTAACATGACCATTAATGCAGCCTCCTTAACGTACAGCTCCAGAGGGTCAGATAAGTAAATAATTCCATTGCCTTGGTTGGTGTTGTTCTCCTGGCTCCTGTGATGTTTAAACAAGCCAGTCGCTGTATTCGATATAATTTTTGGATGGCTGTTACTTGTAAAACTTTCGGTCCCCATGCAATGGCTTCGTACGTAAATACAGGTCTTATTATTGCAGTGTGGATCCAGGTGACCACATGGTGTGAAAGACCCCATGCGCGTTCCACTGTCCTCCAACATTGCTCATAAGCTACATATGCTCTTTTTGCTCTGTTATTATATACTAACGATGCGTCCTGGCTTCTTACGTATAGGAACAAAGCCCCATCATATTTCAATTGATTTTCACAAAACATGAATTAATACAGATGACATTTTCTCTCTAATCGATTCGTTCATTTCTCAAAATTGTATGAGAATTGTATAGAATGTTCGGGAATAGCCTGGAGAGTTGGTGAAAATACCGGAATATCTCAAGAAAGTTATGGTAGGTATGCTAACACTCTATTCTCCATTCGTGACGGAGGTTTCCATTTTTTACTTGAAAGAACTGCTCTTGAAAATATAGGGGCTGGTAGTTTCACCTTCCAGAAAGTTGTAGAACAGAGAGTGTTCAAGAGTACTCAAAAAAATCTTGAAACTTTCTGGAATGTGAAATATTCAGCAATAATATGTCTCGGAATATTCTAGATCATTGTGAAATGATCAATGGACTTAAATGTTGTGGTAGCCATCTACCTTTCGTTCATGAAAAAGGTTCCTGTTTTAACCTATAAGGCGAGAGAACCACGTGATGTAGTACTATCACCAATTCAAGTTAAATTTTTTTCATTTTCACCTTAAATGTGTGCTTTTGAAGTCATGGGGGCTAAAAATTCAACCCTATAGCGAGTTTTAGATCAGTACAGAACATTCAACAGTGTTGAAAGAATTCCACAACATTCCACAACAAGAGAACATTCCACTATTTTCTATGAAACTTTTTTGTTTTTAGCTTTTGAAGAACTAAAATTATTGCTTTGTAAAAAATTCTAAAACAGTCCAGAACTATCGAGAGTATTTCAGAGCATCCACAATCACTACAGCGATGGCGATTGCAGTTACTCTGTCAAAAAGAACATGAGAAATATATGGTGTTGAATGCTGAGTTAATCTAATTTCAGAAAATTGTTTTGAAATATTGTTATTCATGGTCTTCTATCAAAAACATTTTCGTTTAAAATAGAAGTGGAATTTATGTTGACAGATGAGTGAAAACACAATACTCCTGATACTTGGAACTCCAGAGATTATGTATTTTCAAATAAGGCAACATAGCTTACAACTATATGACTATTCCTAAATATTGATGATGAAATGCAGCTCGAAATGATAATTTCTATATAGGATCACAACAAATTTTAAATGTCACAGTGTTTCACATAGAATTGAAAAAAAAAATCAATTCAGGTGTCACTTAACTCTGATACCTACTAATCTATTTCGGTTGTCTAGTTTCAATTTGAAGTTTTGAAACGAAACCGAAACTTCCATATTTCTTTTGAACTGGAGTTTTTGTGAACTAATCATGATACTTTTTTCCAGAGGAGCCCCCAAGTTAGTAAGGGTAGGAATCACTAACGTGTCTGACACCAACTATCTGCAAGTGAGAAACGTCAAACAAATCATCAGATATCCGGATTATATCGGAGAAAAGTACCATGACATTGCGCTTCTCAAGATGGATAGAGACTATGAAATGAATCCATATGTTCGACCAGCATGCATTCACACACAAAAAGATATCCCTTACAATAATGCCATAGCTAGTGGTTGGGGCAGAATAGAGTTTTCTGGAGATGATAGTAAAGATCTGTTGAAAGTAGTANATTTTTGTGGAGGTTTAAAACCTTTCACAATCAGATTGTGGAAGGTTTTGAACCAATCAGATTGATAATCCCAAAAATAACAGTATGAAATAATATAGGATATTTCATTGAGAGCTTCCTATCTTTGAATTTATATAAAACAAAGTGCATGTGAGATATAATCGACATTCTTCATTTTTTTGAAAGACCCATCGATGCCATTATGTGTGGAATAAAACATAATTCAAATGTCCTCCACGACGTTCAATTCTCCATGACTCTGGTTCATAAATCAGGCTGAATTTGACCGATGGCATGGGTTATGTTGGCTTTGAGGACCGCTGAGGTTTGTGGCTTTTTTGCATACACCTGCGACTTAAGAAAACCCTACAAAAAAAAGTCTAACGAGGTCAAATCACATGATCTCGGAGGCCAGTTCACATAACCTCAATGACCATGCCCTCAAATCGCTCGTGCAGAATATCCAAAGTGGCATGAGCTGCGTGGCAGATTATCCAATTCAGGCCTAAAAAAGTTGGTAATCGATATTCGATTCAAGATTGAGTAAATGAAAATAGATTTTGTTATTTGAACTTTGTGCTTAGATTATTATCGATTAGTTCTGAAACATAAAGAATAGTTTTTGGTTGATTGTGACGTAGAGAGAAATAATTTGTACAAATGATCAGAAGAGATCATTTGTTCAAATTATTTCTCAGAAGAGAGAATGATCAGAAGCAGTTTGTTTTTTTTTGAAAACTTCAATCACAATTGAGATATTTGGAATACATAAAAAATTCTGATTATTCTGATTGNAAAAATGTGGGAATCTTTCAAAGGGTTTATTTTTGTGGGTCGCTTTCTGTTCAAACCGTGAGTTCATTAGAAACTAGGGTAAGTAATAGAAAGAGAGAGTAGAAAGATATAGTATTTACAACAATACTGTTGAATTGGATCAGATATTTGCTCGTTTTAAATTCAAGGTAATCTCGAATATTTTCAAATTATGGTCGTTCATATTCATTATTATTTTCTGTTTATACTATTCCGTTGAATGATTGCTGGATAGGCCTGCGATGGAATTTGCCGATACTTAATGGAACTTGGTAATTGAGTAATACTTTTTCTACCGAGGGACGTCTAAACTGGTAGCAAATTGCCAAAAACGACTCCCCTCGATAGGAAGACTTAACAGATTGTCTCTGTTCTGGATTCCTGGCCATACTGGCCTGGAAGGCAATGAGGCTGTTGACTCCCTTGCAAAGGAAGGTGCAGCAAGCAGCTTCATCGGACCAGAACCTGATGTTGGCATCGCTTTGGACTTTGCCAAACTAAAATTGAACACCTGGATGGCAAGAAGATTCATGGACTTCTGGCAGAATCTTCCAGGATTGGCTCACTCCAGGACGTCTATTCAACCTTCGAAGATAAATACCAAACAGTTGTTGGACTATAGTAGGGATGAACTACGATATCTAGCAGGCCTTCTCACAGGCCACTGTCATTTGAATTATCATATGCAGAGACACGAACTGTCGGAAGACAGTGTGTGTCGCCTCTGTTTGGAAAATGAAGAAACAGGAGAGCACATACTTTGTGTCTGCCCGGTGGGGACAGAATCAGGTTTTCAGAGTTTGGCAGAGCCGCACTCTTACCATCTGACCTGAAATATCACTCACCATACAAACTAATCGGCTTCGTTAAGAAGCTGGGTTTATTTGGGCGAGTGTGAATTGGTGTGAGCCGCAATAAACCCTTGCGAGTTGCGGTGGATGGTCGAATAGACCCACTCACTTTGGACCTAGCCACCATAACCTAATACTTCATCTCACAATGTTACTCAACGATATAAACTACTCTCAGTAATGATTTTCATTAGTATCATTCATTATAGTTCAAGTGAACGATATAGTGCAACCTACCTTCCAACAGCTCCCCTTTGATAATATAGTTAGGGAGCTAACTAATTTCGTTATTTGATAATCATTTGTGATTATATAAGAATCACAATAACTATGTAATA